GATGTTAAAATAAAACACCAGTAAATCAGGGTCAGCGTCTGATGCTGAAGTTGTTGCACCGAACATCCGAAAATTAATGCCATGATGATTTGAAAAGTTCAATTAATTTAAAAAAAATGGCATTGGTTACTAAAGTTATTACAGTTTTAAAGACATTCACCCACAGATCACAGAGGGAACTGCAATAGTACACAGAGACATACAGACAGACAGCATACTGTGTGTACATATATATATAAGGGTATATGGTATAAGGTCATCATTCTTCATTTTTTGGATCTTCATCCTTGTCCATGTCCTCGGAAACTGACGGAATATCTTTCTGTTGGGATAAAACATCAACACTTCCAGTTATTTTATATCAACCAGATCAATATTCTACTCAGTGACCCTTGTGTGTCCTCTCAGACACTACGTTTGTTTCATTAAAGGTGTGGATGTGGTTTCTTTCAGCCTACACCTTTCAATCAAAGTAGTGCCCTCACCACAGATCCTTCTCTTCCTCCTTCTCTGGGCTTGTTGAACGTGCAGGTCAGCAACTTGATGTACTCTTCTCTGACCTGTGGGAAATGCATTCACACACAGCACTCTCTTGTTTTTTTAGTATTACCTATCATTAGAGTTAGGCGGAAAAATGTTCGATTTTTGAAATTTAAAGCATGTGAAGAAGAGAGTTTACCTCCTTGTTGAGCACACAGTGGACAATGAACAGGAAGGTCCCCTGCTGGGAGTTGAGCAGAATGAACATAACCTGGAAGAAGAGGTTGCTCTGGTACAGACCCAGGACCCAGGTACAGCCCAGGATGACAAACTGGGCCAGGATCTTGAACAAAATCAGTCTGAAAAAAATATATATACAAATTAAAATTAAACACACATCCATTGTTTGTTGTTGTTGCAAGATGATCTTCTCTCTACAGTCTTTTTTTTTTTTCATTTAATTTCATTTTATCTTTCCAAATGACCCAGAAAAAACACTGAGTGTATTTTTATTACCAGTAAGTTACTACTAGGTAACCAATCACAGAGAACCAACGACCAGCGAGAGTCACCTGGTGTCCTTGGACTGTGAGACGTCACTCTTCATGTTGGCCAGGGTGGGCTTCAGGCTCCATAACGTAGCCAGAAACAACAGGCAGTTAAGCTACAAGAGGAAAAACACGTAGGAAAATCAACTGGGACTTCATCTGGTACTGGTTCATAAGCAGTGGTCTCAAACTCCCGGGCCGAGGGCCATTTGCAGCCCGTTAAGTTCTCACATCTGGCCCTTGACAATAGACGTCAATAATAATTTGCCCCTTTCTTTTTGTCATTGATTTTTTTTTCAATTGTACTTGTCAAAATGCAAATGAATAAGAAAATTTTTTGTTTTGTCATTGTACAAATTGTCAAAATGCAAATGAATAAGAAAATATATTTGTACTTGCTGTTTGCACAATAGCAGTATACAGCATTGGTATTTAAATATCTGGGGGGAGGGGGTTGTATGGACCCTAACTGAAATGATGGTAGCAGCAGAGTCCCCGGCTGGTTTGAGTTTGAGACCCCTGGCTGAGAGTATCGGCTCCACAGACTCACTCCAAGCACAGTGACCACTGGTCCTGTTAAGGCCCAGTTGAAGCTGCGTCTCTGTGACAGCCAGCACCTGGAATCCAGACACAACATTAAAAAAACAAAAAGGGTGACAGTAACCAGTCGATCGATCAGTTTGTCCATCGCTGGTCGTGATACTTACGACCCCCCCTCCGTTGCACCATATCCGTCAGAGTATATGAGCGCAGAAACACCAACAATGACAAACGGGACACCGTAGCCCAGCAGGTAGAGCAGTGGTCGAGGAAGACCATCCCTCTGGATGACCTGCACCTTGGAGAGCCGACGCACCAGCAGGTACAGCTGACATGCCTCCAGCAGCATCCACACGAAACTTGCAACAACAAGGAAGTGGAGGAGCCCAGCCATGACAGTGCAGGCCAGCTGTGGAGACCAGGGAGAGAAATCCACAAAACACTTGGAAACCAAAACAATGACAACAATAAAAGGAGCCAACAGGTACGACATGTAGCGAATGTAGCATGTGACGTGTGGAGTCAGTTAACCACAGCTTCTTTGGTAAAAGATTCTGCATATAATCTCATCCCTTTGGTCATGTGGGGTCAAAACAACTCCATCTTGTTTTGATTTTTATTTATTTTATTTAAAATACATAATATAAATTGTCAATTCTGTCAATTCTGTGTTCACCACTGTACCTCATGGTCGATGTATCTGTCGTTCCACAGCAGCAGTAGATGAGACAAGGCCAGGTTGAGGCAGAGGTGTAGCCGGGCGGTGTTGTTGATCTTGGGGTTCCAGCTGCACAGCAGGAAGGTGAGAATGGCCAGACCGAAGAAGAAGAGTCCGACACACACACACACGCGGCAGCCGGGCCAAGAATGGATCGTCAGGTGGAGGCTGGAAGAAGACACGACCGTTAAGTCAACGCCAGTCAAACGGTTGGTGGCGTACATGGAATTTCTCAATCACAAAAAAAACCACAATAGCACCTCTGCTATCTGCAGGATGAGGGCGAAGGTGGAGAGATGGGTGCAGCTGCAAACTGTGTAGTTTTCATTAGTGAAGGCGACAGAACATCCGTCCACTGACCAACGCATGGCCTTTGTCTTATCTGCTGATTTGGCATTTCCCAACTCTTTGGACTTGTCCTCCCAGTACACACAGGTCACCATACCAGAATCAGCTATGGACTGTAGGAAGAAGGAGAAACAGACCATTTAGAACAGTGATCATCAACTGGTGGTCCGTGGGCCAGATGCGGCCAGTTGAACTGTCCGATCCTGGACTGCAACTCAACTCAAACAATTGTGAGAATCACAGTCATGTGGTGAGACTTAAATAACTCTTGGTATTCCCTGACATTTATGACTCTATTTACAAAATGTGATTTTTTAAATTCAATTTATTTCAGTGTTTGGGCCCCAAGGTGTCTGTCCAGTAAGATTCTGGCCCTTCTGAGTGGCACCTTTTTGTGATAGATGGTGAAATTGACCGGTTCCGTGAGGTTTGTGTTGTTGACTGTGGGCAGGACTGCAGTGACGATGTCAGAGTACATCTCTGTTTTGTTTTCAGTATGGAAGTACTGATGGCTGAGGAGACTCTCCATCCCACTCAGTGTCAGGAAGGCGGCGGCTGCAGCGTCTGTGAAGGTGATGATTAAATAACACCAGAGTGACCTAAAGCTGTCAGTTATACTTCAGTGCTACTTCATGTTACAATTATCGACTTTTCTTACTTTTGTTGTTTTTGGACAAACCATCCAAGTCGATTTCCATGGTGTTTTCATTGGCTGACAGCAAGGCATTTTCTCCCATGTTGGTTCCAGGTTCAATTGTTTGCAAAGTCAAATCTAGCAAAGAATTAAAAAATTAGCCCTCCAAACCAGTTGTTCTGTGACACTCACTGTTCACTTACTCACTCTTAAACATTGTCCTATTTAGTTGAACACAATCCTGACATACTCGCAGGAATTCAAGAAAAACACACATGAAGTTAGAGTAATGTTTGACATTTTTTCTCACCCACTGTAGGACTCCTCAGGTTGGTCTTATTTTTGTACAGACCTATGGCCACCATGGCGGTCAGCAAACGGTCTGACATGTCCAGAATCAGACTGCCGGACTCTGCGTTGCCTTCACTGCTCACTGTCACTGATCTGGCACGTGGTCCAACACCGCACACTTCCTTTAACAAACAAAATACATGAGATAAAGACACATGGCCTGGTTCAGACTCAGTAGAGCAGTGTCAGTGAAGTGTCAGTGAAGTACTCAAGAGTGGGGCGGCAAAGCTGTTTGTCACCGTCTGCAGGAAAAGACAAAAAAGAGTGGGGGCTTAAATGCACCACAGTTTGAACATCCCCAAGACATGAGAACAAATGACTGAAAAGTCTGAGATGATGTTCATTTATTTCAAACTCACCGGTCCTGGTAAAGAAATGCCCGCGTTTTCTTCCAGTTCTTTTCCCATTTTGTCAAGAAAAGCTTTTTCTTTGGACTCCCCCTGCAGCAAACACAAATGTCCAGCCTCGAGTGTAATGGTTGGAGCTCATATGCACCTATATACAAATGAAAATATATTGGTTTGTTTTTACCTCTTTGACATTTAGCTCATCCACTGCCTCCTGTAAAGCTGTGGAGTCGGGAAAAGAAGACGGTAAGAGTAAAAATGGACTCATCCTTGATTACAGCAAATATTTCCCAGATATTATATTTGACGAGGTCACATTTGAAGCCTACCTTTACAAAACGTCACATTCCACGTCCACACGATTCCCGACGATGGGTAAAACCCATCTGAACATGAACAATAGAAGGTTCCTGGTACATTAGTGCACACTGTGTTCTTGCCACATAATCCTGGGGTCTCAGCACACTCGTCGATGTCTGTAGAGAACAACCACAGTCACCAATCTGATTATTCTACTACAAGACACATGTTGCCACACCTACCTATGCAGGGGTTAGAATGGCTGGCTATCTTCTTATCATCTGTTATTCGATAGCCAGAGTTGCAGCTACAGTAATAGGATCCAATCCCGTTGGTGCAGTTGGCATTCGGACCACAGATGTCAGGGTCAACAAAACACTCGTCAATATCTGCCAAATACAAATCTCTGTAGTGACCAAAGTGATTTAGAAACAGAAGAGATTTTCCTGTCTGAGAACAAACGGTGCCAATACCGACGCAGATGTTGATCGGACTGGCTTCCAGCGCCGGATCAAGTGGTTCGTAGCCCACTTGACATGAACAGTTGTAATAACCACGTTTGTTGCTGCAAATGGATACGGGGCCGCAGATTGCATTATCCTTACATTCGTCGATATCTGATGTAAAAACAAATACAGAGAACAAGTTATCATCAAAAGCACAATTTTACAAGCAAAGCAAGACATAAACATACTCTTTTGGGATGTGTTTATATGTATGCATGTATATGAATGTATATATGTATGTATGTACGTATATGAACGTATGTATGTATGTTTATGCATGTATATATGTATGTATGTACGTATATGAACGTATGTATGTATGTATGTATGTATGTATATGTGTAGTCTTTAAAAAGGTGAAGAGACAGACCTTGACAAACAGGTGCTGCTGTGTATTTTTCTTCAAAGCCTTTTCTGCAGTCACACATAAAACTGCCTGGCTCGTTGATACATTTCCCAGGACCACACACATCCTCAAGGCACTCGTCGATATCTACAAACAAACAAAGAAGAAAACTCTGTGTCGCCACCACCAGGCCGAGACAAAATCAGGAAATTGAAAATAACATTGAAACCACACTGGACCTTCACAGTTTGCTCCTCCAGGACCTGTAGCATTGAACCCAGTTAGGCATGTGCAGTAGTACGACCCCACTGTGTTGTTGCAGATGGAGTTCAAACCACAAATATCAGGAGTGGTCACACATTCATCGATGTCTGCCAAGGAATGCAAGCGGTAGGTTAACATCAGCGTGACAGCTCATTTAAGATGTATGTTCAAATTCTGGGTTGTGTCCCAACAGTGGCTCCAGAGGCCACTTGCTAGGTCCTTGGTTTAAGTCATTAATAATATATAGAAAATAAAATTTCAAATTGTTTTGGAGTGGGTTTTAAACTTCAAGGTACCTGAACAAATATCAAAGCTGCAAACCACAGATTACTTCTTTTTCAGTAGATGACACATACTCAGAAATATTTTAATGGTTACATTACAATATTTCATAATGTAAAAGGCAAAATATGACAAAAAATAAAATCTGTATTTAAATGGGAATTTAATTTGTTAAAGTACTTGGTGGTACAATGGTTGGTCGATGAATTGTAAAATACTCACCAGTACAACCATATGAATCAGCAAGAGGTCTGTGGCTCGGGGGGATTTCATACCCTGAGACACAGCTACACCCCCCATCAATACACTCAGCGAGGGGTCCGCAGGAGTCTGACTTACACACAGAATGATCTAGAGTGGGATAACAAACAAAAACACAAAAACTTCAGTTTGAAGTATCTTATTGATCTGAGTCCGTAGCAGTGTAACGCCAAAGGTGTAAATGATTCAAAACCACTCACATGTCACATAACCCAGGGTCTGCAATGGGTGCGAGGACGGTTTGTAAATGTAGAATTCTCCAGGACACAGGACCACGCTCATTTCAACAGAATAAACAGAACAGCTTCCGACATTACCGTAGGCAGTTCCTACATATGCATCTTCAGACTGATTGGTCGGATATGTAAAGCCAAAGCTGAATGAGTAGGCAGTGCCACCAAAAGAACCAAGAACACAATATTTGATTAGTCTGTCTCCACCGATTCCAGTGAAGCGCCACCAATTCCCCTGAAGCTCCAAGTCATTGTTGGGGTAGCCGTAAAAGGAGGTTGATGTGAAAAGTTTGTTGCGCCACGGGTCAGTTATGTTACTGTAGCCATTACAGGAGCCTAGAGGGCAAAACCAAAACTACAAGTCTTATTGTTATTGTCACCTCATCAAATACCCATAATAATAATTGATTTTATTATTCTTGTCTGGTGATAACGGACACCCGTACCATTAGGATATGAACAGAGAACGACGTTGACGAGGGAACCTGCAGGAATGGAAGAAAAGAAAATGTCAGTTTAGAAGAAAAATTTTAATACAAAGAATGCATGAATACACTGGGCAGTTTTTTAAATTTTCAAATTTAAAGCAAAATAAAACAGAGAGTTGGAGATTAAGTGATGCTGACACCAGTGTTATAATCTGATGTATATCAGATAAAATCCCACAAAGTAAACAGGAATGAGTAAAGAGTTGGTAAGGAATTTTATTCCAAGTTTTAATTGAAAACTTTAATTTAAGGACTTTAAGTCCTAAAATCTTTGTACAAGGTAGAAAACAAATGCTAAAACCTAACCTCAGGATTGAACCTAACCTGTAGACCATTTACACAGAATGTTGCTTAAATAAGGTTTTTAATACAGTTCATTAACTGGAGAGGAAAATAATAAAACACGTCTAAATCAGTTAGAACTAGTGACACTTTTACTGAAGTCCCCAAAAGACGTGTAAGACATGAACTTTTTAGCACGACATGATAATGTCGCAGTATCCTCAGCTGCACTGGCTCAGTCTTAAAGATCACATTTTTTAAAAATATTCTTTAAATCATACATATTTTAAATGACATATCATACTTTAAATCCTAAATCTACGGTAAACCAACTCACCCAAGAGAAATATAAAAGCGCAGCAGTTCATGCTGACACGTCCAGCTCCAGCAGATATCAGGCAACACTACCTTGAAGGCACCTACATGTAGATTTGAGACATTTGCACAACATGCAGAAGATGTTTTTACAATCTTTGGCACCAATGCAAAAAACAATGCAAATTCGGACACTTGTGATCAAAGAGTTATCGCAAGTGGCGTTTGTCTTAAAGAGGGAGCAGTGCAGAGCTCGGCTGTGGTTTCAAAAACTCACTAACGATGATGACGAATTACTGAGACTGAAACTGGGGAAATGTGATGTCAGTAAAAGTTAAAAATTAGCAGCATTTTCATACAAAGAAGTGATCAATGACAGATCTTTTTTTTGCTTCAGCCATTGGTGGATGCTCCTTTAATGCCTGATCTCAACACCACTGCCCATTGATCTATTAGAGGTAGATTGTGATCTACCAATAGATTGTGAAGAGAGTTCTGGTACATTATGAGCAAATAAAAAAGATTGAATATAAATTTAAGGAAGAAGTGTAGAGACGACCATTCATTGTAAGAATTAAACCACAGGTGTCAACCTCAGGCCCGGGGGGCAAATCTGTCCCGCAGTGTAATTATGTTTGGTCCATGAGATCATATCAAAGGTGTACTAGAGTTGGCCCGTCAGTATACAGCCCCTGTATACTGGCAGGATTTGTAGTATTAGTGGTATATGCACTACGTTATAACTCGTACGTTTTGTTTCTTTTGTTGTTGTTGTTGGCCTGCGAAAAGAAGATTTAGAATAAAAATGAACTCAAAAGGCTAGAAATAAAGAGACACAATAAGAAACAAATACTACTCATGTGTTTTATTTCAAATTTAACTTCTCTGTTCATAATATTAAGATTTGGTTCCTGAGTGATAGGGGCCCTTACAACAAAACAATAGCAGAATATTATTCCTCCACTGTCATATCCTTCTGTGGGGTGGGGGTCAAATTGTGGGGCCCAGACTTCCTGGTCACACCCCTACCTCAAATAATGAGCTGTTTTAACAAACACAACAAAGGACACAAAGAGGTCTTTGTGTCGGACAAAGGTCAGTCTGATATTTTTCTCTGCATGTGTGGTGTTCAGGTGTGTCAGTGTAAATGTGTGTGGTGGTGAAGAATCTTAGGTATTTTTTAAAAGAATGTATGTATATGGACTTTTTCATTTTTAAATTCACAGCCACGTTCACCCCAGGAGACCATCAGAGGTCGGACTCCAGCGCTGATTTGTTTTGTAAAACTCTCAGTTGGTAGTGCTTCTGGGTAGCATGTAAATGACTTTAAAACATCTGCATAAACAAATAAATAAAGGACTAGCCTACTGTTTCCATAAGACTGTGCAGACATGAATATTTAACATCAAGTGTACACTTAAGTACTGTATTTTGTTTTTGGTTGATAGATTATATTCATTGCCTACGATTTCATTTAATATAAGAGGAATTGGTCGAGTTCATAGTGAGAAGACGACGCTTGTTTTTGGTTTTGGTTTTTTTGTCCGTGCGTTTGATGCATTTACAAACGTTGTGGTGGTGTCTTCTAGTGGACACAAACCGGTACTGCGACACAAGACAATAACTTCCCACAGCAAAATGAAGAGATGCTTTTTAATGATGCGCAATGAAGGTTCACTCTCAACAAGCAGCTCAAAAAAGCCTATAACCATAACAATAGCAATTTATGATAATTGCTAATGACCATCCCTGCAGACTATAATCCAGAATATTTAAGTGTTATAATAATAATTCCCTTAAACTATAAATCAGCACTTTCATCATTTCTTAACTGAAACCTGTCGTTATCTTTATCAGTAAAATGATCATACACACAAACAAAGTTACTGCATCAGTCTCTGACATTTCAATGTACCTTGAATGATTTTTTTTTTATTCTGCTGAGTAAAATCCACACACTAGATGAGTTCTTGTGCAAGTACATAAAAACCACCTCCTTATCCACATCTGTATATCCATACCACTTTACTCACTCCACATTTATCTTTCAAATAGAAATTGGAAAAGGAAACAAGGGTTAAGATCTGACAGGAAACTATGTCAACTGCAATGGTTCTCGACCAGGTAAAATATATGGTGGGAATTCTACCGGAAAAAATATAACAAGATTGTTTGTTCTTTCAGCTTTTGTTATTGTTCCAATATGGAGTATTTAGAATAAAATAAAACACCAGAAAGGCAGTATGAACAACAATCACCCAAACTTTCTACATCAATCATTAATGTATGTTGGAAATGCAAATCTAGCACACAGATTTTTAATCTTTAGAAATATTAAAAGATACCACTCAGTGGCTTAAGACTTGTTAGAAAACTTTTATTTGCCCTATTCACAAGTACTAAACAAAAAAGGGACATTTCCCACCCGCACCACAGCTCAGTGTAAAAGGTACATCAAGTTCATTGATCAGCCTTGAGATAGAGATTGAAAAAGCCATGAATTGTGTTTTTATTTTTCCCACTGCACATTCTCTGCTCAGTTACGTCACCAGCAAAGACGAGCGTTCAGTCCGACCACATAAAAATCTGAAATAAACAAATGGTCCGCTATAGAACAACGAAAACAAAGTATTCTTTAAATAAAAAAGAACAAAATAAAACTTTTAAAGTCTAAAAGAATTTGTGCACTGAGTACACAAAACAAAACAAAATAGTTCAACAAAAAAAGTTGTGGACTGACTGCACTCCAATTGGCCAACCTCAATAACATCACACCTGGGAAAGATGCTGTCAGTGTTCAGCAGCTCAGTGAAGCGGTACAGCTTTAGTTAAGAAGAATTCTTAACCTTTGTCTGAGCGCACAAACTGTCGTGATCGATGTGTTGGTAGATTACAGTCATGGGCATTCACATTATAACCGTTAGTTGACAATGAGTTTCTGGGAAGGACCATCAAATTGTATACTTGTGCACAAACTGAAAGATGTAAAAGGGAGAAATAGTTTGTTAGCTGGAAAGAGCACTTCATTTTCCAACTATGTTTACCCTCGCCGCTTTCAAGTCAAAGAAATGTGGTTCCAAAACAAAACAGAAAAAAAAAAGTCACAAGACTGATTCAACAAACAGAAACTCAGGAGGGGGCGTGGCTCCAGTAAATTAATGGTATGACTGGGACATGGGAGGTGAGCAGGTCAAAGATAAGAACTTCTTTAATACCATTAGACCAGTGGTTCTTAACCT